AGGCTCAGCCCGCCCCCCCCGCCCTCCAGCCTTCCCATTGGCTATCGTCCCGCCCCGCCCCACCGCTGCCATTGGGCGGCGTGGCTGCCAGTCACGGGGGGTAGGGGCCGAGCGGGCCGGGGCCGGGGCCGGGGCCGGTGGCGGCGGGGCTGGGGACGGGGACGGGCCCCGCCATGGCCCACTTCGAAACGCAGTACCAGCGCCTGGAGAGCTCCTCCACCGAGTCACCTCCCGGCGGCGGTGACCTCCTCGTCCACGTCCCTGAAGGCGCCAAATGTAAGCGGCGGTAGAGGGCACCGGGGCTTGGGGCCTGGCCCGGACCACCCCCCCGTCTTCACCCCCTCCCGCGCAGACGGTCGGAGCCCGAGGGGAGCGGGGTCGGGAAGCGTGAGGCGGCGGAGGCCTCGGGGACTGGCGGTGTCCGGGCTGGGGGGGGGCAGATCTAGGCTGGGTAGGGATGGGGGAGCAGCCAGGGACCAAGGGGAGCCGGGGATGGGGGCCCCAAACCGGTCCCGCAGCCGAGGTGGGGTTGTGCCGGTCATGACCCCTCACCCTGCCCTGCTTCTTCTTCTTCTTCAGCTCCGTGGCATCACATCGAGAACCTGGACCTTTTCTTCTCTCGCATATCCTTTCGCAGGGCAGGGTGCACCCCCCTGGCCCCGGGGGCTCTCCGTGCTGGTGGAAACACTGGGTTTGGTGTAACTTGGAGCTGGGGCAGTGTCTGCCCCTTCCTGTAGGACACCCCGCCACTCCAGAGGGCCTGGGGGATGGCAGAACCCCCATGCCTCTGGAGTGCTGTCACCTAAAGCTGACGGGACAGACAGGTTCTTTTAGGGATCCTTGGCAGAGTGATGACGGTACTAAGTCATAGTTACAGTTAAAGCTTTTTTTTTTTTCTTAATAGGATTTTATTATTAGCATTGTATAGCATAGCATAGCGTTTATAATTGGAGTAGCACAGGATTTCTGTAAGCAGAATCGGTGTAGTACAATCTCATAAGTAGTGTAGTACAGAATTTTATAGTACAACTTAACCTACGGTTTCTAATCACCTGGACTCTCTGCAGATCAGGTCATATCATAATCCATGGGTTGCTGTATCAGTGTATCATAATCTATACTCAAAAATCATATAAAAGAATGCGAATCGCTTAGTCCTTGGAGGAAGCAGACGATGGTAGGGACATCCCTGGCTACTGGTGGTCCTGTGTCTCACTGACGAGCAGCAGTTCTGGTCTAAGTTTCCACTTAGGACTTAGAACTCCATGATTTTATGGACAGTGTTCTGTGTGCTGTTGCACTTCCCTGTTTTCTGACAGGGTCATCGCTGCCATTGGGTTGGCCGGGTGCCTGGGACCTTCAAGGCTGGCACAGAAGGGACTAATCAGACTGGTGCCCAGGAAACTTGAGGCCAGTGGGGAGGGGAAGAAGAAATCTATTTGATTTGTTGACTTGGTTCATGTCGACATGATGTCGACTCGATGTTGACTAATGATGAGGCGCAGGGAACTAAGAAGTGATCTGCTCCGTCACAGAGAATGGCTGCTTGCCTTATAAAACGGTGTTAGTTGTGCTAACCACATTACCAGGGGTTGGGAGCAGGGGGTACCAGTGACAGGTGCTAGGGGTATTAAGTGCATTTTTGCCTGTCTCTATGTTTTCTGCCCTACCCTTGTGTGGCCTGAGGGCAGGCTGAGTTTCTGCTCTGTGCTGGGACAGACTCTGGGTGCTGGGTGGGGGGAGAAGGGAGCTTGGACGGAGCCAAGTCCTCTTATCCCAGCTGTGCTTTACCTGGCAGTGTTTCCCTGCAGTGGCAAACCAGCTTGCTGATGAGTAGGGGTGGAAGGGGTTTTCGGTTAGTGGTGGAGGGATTCTTGGCTGGGGAGCTGTGGATGCCAGTGGGACAGAAGCCTCTCCATCCTTCATCAGAGGGAAGGAGTCTCCAGACTGTTCTCCTTGACTGTAGCTTTCACGTCTATAACCTGCATCAGAAGAATGGCTTCACCTGCATGCTCATTGGAGAGATCTTTGAGCTCATGTAAGTGCAGATTCCCCCTGTGTTGGGACTGTGACAGCTGCTGGGGAACAGCCACAGGAATCCACTGAGCTCCTGCAGCTGGGTTGACGGGAGGGCTCTCTTTATAGTTGTCCCATATCCCCTTTGTTAGGGTTTTCCGTGCCCCAAACCTGCATTCCATTTTAAGGAACTGGTGCCCATGAGCTTTCGTGCCACCACGGCTGTGGGAATGCATCTCTATGACACGTGACCCTGCCCGCTTCACATTTTGAGGGGCAGGAGGGTGATTCTTTCATGTCTGCTCCTGTTTTTTCACAGGCAGTTCATCTTCGTGGTGGCATTTACCACCTTTCTTATCAGCTGCGTTGACTATGACATCCTCTTTGCCAACAAAGCGGTCAATCACAGCCAGCATCCCACTGAGCCCATTAAGGTGACACTGCCAGATGCCTTCCTGCCTCCACATGTCTGCAGTGCAAGGTAGGGGCAGCAGAAGACATGTTAGCCACCACTCTTGTTTTCTCAGGTACTCAGGGCACCTGTCTGGGCCTGTCTCACACTACTTGCCTCTTCTTGCTTGCAGAATCCAGGCAAACAGCTTTCTCATCTGCATCCTGGTGATAGCTGGGGTTTTCTGGATCCACCGACTCGTCAAATTTATCTACAACATTTGCTGCTACTGGGAGATTCACTCTTTCTACATCAATGCCCTCAAAATTCCCATGGTAAGTAGCTGGGCCAAGGGCTGTATACGGGGCTGCTAAGGGACGTAGGAGGTATTTGCTGGATGGTGAAAAGCACCTTCTACTCCTCTCTGGAGCCAGCTTCTCCGAGAGATTTGCACTAGAGTGCTCTTCCCCCTGCTCCATAACTGCACAGGTCTCCTTTCAGGCTTTTCTCCAGCAGCCAGCTTATTCCCTGTTAACCCCCTCTCTGCCCAGCTGGCTCCTCTGCCTGTTGGCACACGCCTCTGCCATCTGCCACCCAATATGTTTATTCTTCGGTGATGGCCTTTTCGGTGATGCCTCTCAACAGAGAAGGCATGAGCGAGGATATCCTCATACCTCCCTGGGTTGTAAACAACATCATTTTCCTTGGTTACCTGGGGGGAAACTGAGTCATGGAGCTGCCTAGTTGGTGAATACCGCACTGGAGATGAGTGTGTCAAAGATGGGTTTTGAGTCTTGCACGTATGTCCTAGTCCAGAGTCCTTTCTCTCCTGGCCAGCATCAAAAGGCGTGTGCGCGTCCTTTGAGGAGAGCCCATGTCTTGAGAAATGTGGAGTGAAGCCAAGAGGCTCCGTTTGTCCCCAGCTATTCCACAGGCTCCCTCTGGGACACTGCTTAAGTCCCTTCCCCTGTTTGTGTCTCCCTGTTGACTCCAAATGCCAGCTCTGGGAGGACCCATGGGAGCCTGGAGCCGTGTACATGCCTCTGCTGGTGTCTGAGTGGCTGGGAAAAAGTCATCTGCTCTAATCTTGGGCTAAAGGGCACTGGGACAAGGTGTGGGGTTTGCTCGCTGCAGGCTGGAGTGGTGCAGGGAGTGCCTCGTGTCTGGGTCCTGCTGTTGGAGTGGGCTCAGCCCACCTTCTGTCCCTGGGCACATCCTTCCCGTAACCTTGCCGCTTGCCCCCTTCCAGTCCACCCTGCCCTACTACACCTGGCAGGAGGTGCAGGCCCGCATCGTGCAGATCCAGAAGGAGCACCAGATCTGCATCCACAAGAAGGAGCTGACAGAGCTGGACATCTACCACCGCATCCTCCGCTTCAAGAACTACATGGTGGCCATGGTGAACAAGTCACTGCTGCCCATCCGCTTCCGCCTGCCCCTGCTGGGGGACACCGTCTTCTACACGCGTGGGCTCAAGTACAACTTCGAGCTCATCTTCTTCTGGGGGCCCGGCTCCCTCTTTGAGAATGAGTGGAGCTTGAAGGCCGAATACAAGCGGGCCGGGAATCGCTTGGAGCTGGCTGAGAAGCTCAGCACTCGCATCCTCTTGATTGGCATCGCTAACTTCCTCCTCTGCCCCCTCATCCTCATCTGGCAGATCCTCTACGCCTTCTTCAGCTACACGGAGATCCTGAAGCGAGAGCCGGGCAGCCTGGGTGCCCGCTGCTGGTCCCTCTACGGCCGCTGTTACCTCCGTCACTTCAACGAGCTGGACCATGAACTGCACTCACGCCTCAGCAAGGGGTACAAGCCAGCTTCCAAGTACATGAACTGCTTTATCTCCCCGCTCCTCACCATCGTGGCTAAGAACGTGGCCTTCTTTGCTGGCTCCATCCTGGCTGTGCTCATCGCTCTCACCATCTATGATGAGGACGTGCTGGCGGTCGAGCACGTCCTGACCACAGTCACCCTGCTTGGGGTGGGCATCACGGTGTGCAGGTGAGGTGGGTCTGTGCTGCCCACGTGCTCCTGGCAGCACTGCAGGGAGCCGTGGGGCTGACAACCGTCCATGCAAACATGCTCTTTGGTTGCCAGTGGATGTGAATCTGCCCAAGTGAAGGGCATGGCTGGGAAGAGTTGGGCAGGCGGGAGAAGAGGAGATAGTGGTGATCTTGGGTGCAGTGGTGATATGATATGAGGGGTGTTGATGGAGCTAAACAGCAACACCCCAGGGCTGGGCTGGCAGGAAGGTTTGGGTTGGGTGCGAAGGGAGCAGGTGGAGCCTGTGGCCTGTCACCTGATGGGCCAGTCACCCTGCGTTCCCGGGATGAAACCTCACAGGAACTGAGGTATGATGCTGTGGTATTTCCCTGTCCTGTCCTGCAGGTCTTTCATCCCTGACCAGCACCTGGTGTTTTGCCCAGAGCAGCTGCTGCGAGTCATCCTGGCCCACATACACTACATGCCTGACCACTGGCAGGGCAATGCCCACCGCTACGAGACCAGAGACGAGTTTGCCCAGCTCTTCCAGTACAAAGCGGTGAGCTTGGCTTGCAAGGGGCTGGGATGGGAATTCACCCTCATCCGTGCAGGAGGAAGAAGCCGCTGCAGAGCTGAGCAGCTCCTGGGCTGGCAGAGACACAAGGCAGCTTTCTCAGAGACTCCCTGCCCCAGAAGATGGGCTGGAGCTAGGGGATGGCTTTGGGATTGTGGGGGTTTTGACATGCTCAAGCTTGCACTGAGCCCATCATCTCTATGCCCAGGTCTTCATCTTGGAGGAGCTCCTGAGTCCCATCATTACCCCCCTGATCCTCATCATCTGCCTGCGCCCCAAGTCCTTGGACATCGTTGATTTCTTCCGTAACTTCACCGTGGAGGTGGTGGGTGTAGGTGACACCTGCTCCTTTGCCCAGATGGACGTGCGCCAGCATGGCCACCCGGCGGTAGGTCCTGTGGGTGGTAGGAGAGCAGCCTGGGCTGCCCATCAATGTGTTTGGTCCTTTAGATGCAGGAGAGGTTGTAACTTGCTGCTCATGGCAGCCCGCAGCCCAGCCACGAGCCTCTGCCTCTCTGATGGGTGTCTGTGGTTGCCAACACAGCTCATTGGCCCCAGAAGGCTCTTGTGGCCCAGCTGTGATTACTAACCTGGTATTTTGTGAACCAGGCTGTGTCATTTCTTCATTTGATGTCCTTGCCTGTTTTCACAACCAAGAGTCCTGTGTCCTCAGGAGGGAAGAGTGAGGATATTTGAACATTTAGAAACCATGACCACTGAGAAATGACTTAAAGAAGCTGGGGCTGCTTGTGCCCAGGAGAGAGGCAGCCTCAGGCGGAGGGGAAGCAGTTTCCATTATGTAAAAATCTAGTGCAGAGGGAAAGGAGATCCATCTATTTCCTGTGCCTGGGAATTTAGGTTGTCAGGAAAGACTCCCTAGTGACAGGGCCATGAACTAGGGAGGGGGTGGGCTCACTGTGGCAGGAAGCTTCTAAGAACAGTCATTTGTTGGCTGTAGTCACTCCTGCTGCGAGCTGGAGAGTGCAAGACGAGGCTTTCAGCTCTGTATTTTGTGTCACAAAATACATGGTTCCCCTCTCTCCAGTTTCCCTCCAGCAGTGCATGTTCTGGGGTGGAGGTGGGACACGCTGTGCTTGCTTCTTCCCCAGACTACGAGTGCTGAACTCGCAGGGGGGCTTTTGCTGTGGCCCCTGCTACATGGCGGAGCCGTGGCCCAGCTTGTGCTGGGCATTGTGTGTGTTGCTCAGACTGACTGCAGGACTGCCAGGCCTCGCTGGGGCGTGAAGCAGATCCTGTCCCTCACTACCTGTCTGTGCTCCGCAGTGGATGTCTGCAGGAAAGACGGAGGCCTCCATTTACCAGCAGGCCGAGGACGGCAAGACGGAGCTGTCCCTCATGCACTTTGCCATCACCAACCCCAAGTGGCAGCCGCCCCGGGAGAGCACGGCCTTCATCGGCTTCCTGAAGGAGCGGGTGCACCGGGACAGCAGCGTGGCCCTGGCTCAGCAGGCTGTGCTCCCCGAAAATGCCCTCTTCAGCTCCATCCAGTCCCTGCAGTCGGAGTCGGAGGTGCTGGGTGCTGGGGGGTGGGGGATGCGAGGTGTTCTTGGGGTGCTTGCTGGGTGGTGGCAAACTCATAATCTGGGCAATTTTGCCCTTGCCTGGGCAGTGTCTGGGGATGCCAGTGTGATAGATCAGCACTAGTTGGGACTGCTGCTGGGTTTCTAGAGAAGGCAACAGGCTGTCCTGGGGTGCTGTGGGGTGGGAGAGGAGCTGAGAGAGCTGGGGTGCCTCAGTTCTATGTTGCTGGTGGGGATCAGCCCTCCAGCTCTGCACAGGATGGTGATTCTCTCTCCCTTTCAACCCTGCAGCCTCACAGCCTGATTGCCAACGTGATAGCGGGCTCCTCAGCGCTGGGCTTCCACATGAGCCGGGATGGACAGGCCTCCCGCCACCTCTCCGAAGTGGCCTCGGCCCTGCGTTCCTTCTCCCCGCTCCAGTCTGCCCAGCAGCCTCCCAGCAGCTTCCAGACAGCAGGAAGGGATGGAGAGGGAAACCAGCCTCGGGGCGCCAGCGCCATGACGGCCTCTGGGTAAGCTGCAGGCTGGAGAGGGGTGGCCAGACTCCTTGCAGAGTCCTTAAACCCTTGTCTGATTGTCATCCTGTTGTCCTAGGTGCACAGTGGCAGTTTTCTCTGCACCCTGGGACAGCAAGGGACATGTTCATAAGCAGAGTTAGGCTCAGGTGCTTAGGACAGTGTTGGGGTGTTCTGTAGGTACCACAGTGATGAGAAAACCTTTGTAGGGTTGAGGCAGTGCCATCACGGGCCTGGTCACCTTGTACATCTGGGGAGATGCCACTGAGGGCCTGTTCCTGCCCAGCCCAGCCTGCCATTAGAACTGAGAGGGGCTGGGTGGTGTGGGGGGCACCTGGGCAGCAAACACCACTTGTGTGTCCCATGGCAGTGCCGACGCGAGGACCGTGAGCTCGGGGAGCAGCGCCTGGGAGGGTCAGCTACAGAGCATGATCCTGTCGGAGTACGCCTCCACCGAGATGAGTCTCCACGCGCTCTACATGCATGAGGTGAGCAGCCTGGAGCTGGGCTGGCCAGAGGGGCACAGGGACAGGGCAGGCAGTTCTGGGGTGCCCCGTCTGGAGCGACTGGGATACCAGTGTGAGTGAGAGTTGAGACCAGTGTGTTTACAGCGCTGGGGAGAGTGTGTGTTCGGGTGTCTGGGCCCTCCCACACAGCTGACTCATTCGTGTTTTGGCCTGCAGTTGCACAAGCAGCACGCCCAGCTGGAGCCCGAGCGGCACACTTGGCACCGGCGGGAGAGCGACGAGAGCGGAGAGAGCGCCCACGAGGAGCTGGACGCTCAGCGGGGCGCCTCCGTCCCCATCCCTCGCTCTGCCAGCTACCCCTTCTCCTCGCCGCGGCAGCCGGCAGAGGAGACGGCCACGCTGCAGACGGGCTTCCAGCGGCGATATGGTGGCATCACAGGTACAGGAGCCAGGGCAGGGGCCTGAGCTCCAGGTCAGAGCCCCATAACTGACACCCTGTATGGACTGGCACGAGCAGCCTGCCTGTCCCTGGAGACTGGCGGTCCCTCAGGGCACTAACCTTCCTCCTTACCTCTCCTGCAGACCCGGGCACAGTACACAGGGCCCCATCACACTTCTCCCGCCTCCCCCTGGGAGGCTGGGCTGAGGACGGGCAGTCAGCGAGACACCCAGAGCCCGTGCCAGAGGAGAGCTCAGAGGATGAGCTTCCACCGCAGATCCACAAGGTAGGGGTGAAGGCTGTGGCTGAGAGGGGAAACGTGTTCTTAAGATGGTCCCGATAGGTGCCACATCCCCTCTCTGTCTTGCAGGTATAGCCTTGTAGACTGGGGATCTCGTGGGGGTTGCAGACTGGGAGCCGCCTGGGCAGCAGGATGTGGCGTCAGCCTGATTCTTCTCCTGTCCCGAGTGGACGGGATAGTCCCGGGCTCCATTTTGTTGCCATCAATTGCCGAAGAGACAAAACTGCCAGGCCAGTGGCATTGCGGTGGCACCTTGTGTCCAGCCGTGTGTCAAGTCAACGCCACTCTGACTCTTGTGGGGTGAATGCGTGTGTGAGTACATACATGTGTCTGTGTTCACATCTGTGTCGTCCGTGTCGGAGGACCGCTGCGGAGCCTGCGAAAGCTGACATGACAGGACTAGCAGTGGGGAGCTGTGGACTGGCTTGGAGGTGGCGGCAGCAGCTGCCGTTCAAAGAGATGTGAGATGCCACCAGCTCCAGATGTCCGCCCGGAGCTGGGACCTGCCTCCAAAATGAAGGCAGGAGATGTTGAGGGGGGCCTAGCTCAGCACGCCTGCCCTGCCTGCAGCCCTGGGGAGGTACCCAGGACCGCGGTTCGCCCTCCGGGAGAGGACCGGTGCTGTGCCCCTCAGCCTGGCGCAGGACAGCAGTGGGGCAGTCGCCCACCCCTCTGCCCCAGCACCCTGCAGAGGGATGGACCCTGGCTGCTGCTGGTGTGGGTAGGGGTGGGATCTAGAGCTGGTGGGAACAGCTCTGTCCGGGATTTGGGGATGCTGCAGCTCTTCCCTGATTCTCACCACAGCTGGCCCATCCCCTGCACACAAGGAAGGGTCGGTGGGTCGCTGACGTCCCTCCCAGCTGAGCGCCTCCATGCTGTATCTCTGGGCTAGGGCAGCAGCATCCTCTCCTGCCCACGGCACCCCTGGGGTGCGGGCTGCTAGCGGGCCCTCCTGCAGTGCCAAAGAGACCCCGAGGTGGGGCAGCCCGGCATCTCCCGGGAGTGCTCCCAGCCTCCTCGGAGCCCACTCTGAAGGTCTTGTGCTCTGTGTATTGGTTCCCTTCCCCCAGGCATGATAAAAGCCTTTTCCCCGTGCCCAGGCTGTGGTGCATCAGCTCTGTCCCCCTGATGTGGCTGTTCCTGTCATACCAGGCCTTTTGTCTTCCCCGCCCCCCTTTCCTCGCTGCATCTCACGTCTCACCTTGGGGGTCCCAGCTCCTCCTTTCCTCCTGAAACTATCCTTTTGCTTGCAACATGGCTTCAGCTGCTGTGGATGCCATATACCAAGCAGCTGGCTTGTGCTGGGGTCGGGGTGGAAAGAGGGGTGCCCTGAACCCAGAAGGGAGAGACAAACCCCAGCCTGGCCCTGGGGTGGTGGTGGTAGTGGTGGTGGTGGAGCATGGCCTCAGACAAGACCTTCCCGCCATGGTCCTGGTTTCCCTCTCTTCTCTTCCAGTGGCAGCCCGTGAGGATCTGCATCCCAGCTAACCCCTGACAGGCTTTGATTTCCCCCTCTTTCCCCATCCACCCCTTTGCCTCCGGCAGGGGCTGCTTGCTTTTGCCATGCCCTCTGCCAGCACCGCAGGCCCTCCTCTGCCCTCCCGGGAGTCCACGGCCACCTCTTCTCCCTCCCAGGGGTATCGCCCTCTGCCCTTTGAGCCTGGGCCGGCTGCGCTGCCAAACCGGCTGCCCCCCAGGCCACCTGCCCCCGGGGACCAGGGCATGAGCAGGGCCGGGGTGCAGGCTCTTTGGGAGTGTTGGGTTCCCTGCTGCCACCGTGGGGAGGGACAAACCCGGAGCTGCCACTGCTCTGGGGTCCATCAGAGATCAAAGGGAGCGCTCTGAGGGGGCTCAGCATCACTGCTGGGGGCAGGACTGAGCCGGGCACGGTGAGCTGGGTGCTGGGGGTCCTTCCATGGAGGAGCAGGCTGCAAGGACCCCCCCCAGCCCCTCGGGTTTGGAGCTGCGCTATGGCAGGGTGAAGGGAAACTGAAAGCAGAATTCCCTGGAAGCCAGGCTTTCCAGTGGCTTCCCCGGCACCTCTCTGGGCCGGCGGACCGGTGGTCTCTAAGGGGAGCCGCTGGAAGGCTGGCAGTGCCCGGGGTGGGGGGGAGAGCCTGGGCCTTTCCCCGGGCTGGCAGGAGGGAGAGGCGGGAGTCCTTGCCGCATGTTGTGCTTGTGTCGTCGGTGTCCCGTGTGCATGGCGAGCCGCTCTTCCTCACCCTCTCCCGGGGGCGTGCGGGCAAGGCGGGGGGGTGGGGGTATCCCCGGGAAGCGGCGGTGTCACCCCCACCCCACCTCCCCCCCCCGTGCCCTCGCTGTACATCTAATAAAGATGGGCTGTATCATTCCTGATCGCCTCCGAGTCTCCCTTCACCCTGCAGCCCCCCCCGGGGCACCCGGGAAGCCGGAGCAAGCCGGTGCCTGCCGGGCCGGGAGCTCCCCGCCGCTCGGTGCCGGGGGGGGGGG